GATCCTGTTATGGAACTCATTCATTCTCGTTCACAGTTGGCGGAGGAGTGCTTGCTTTGCCTTTCGTAGTCTGGCTTCGAACGATTCTCTGCTTCACTGGTCTGTAATGCTTTACCCATTCTTTCCGATTCCCGCCTCTTTTGGAATATTCTCTGCTGTAAAAGAGGTCATAAATTTAGCGGCAATGAATAGCATATAAATGGAACCGGGTAATACGCCACAGGATGTGTAAAATAACTGGCAGTCCACTTTGTAGTCTGTTTAAAGGACTCCTTTGAGTTCCAAAGTCCATAGCGTACTGAAGTACGCTAAATGTCTAATGTTTGAAACTTCTGGATTTATGGTGTTGGTGAGACGATTAATGCCTCCAAAAAGAAGCCGAACAGGCTGTTGCGTCTTTTGTGGCGCTATGCCCTAATAATAATAATAATTATAATAATAATAATAATAAACAGTTTAACATGGAGAAACACTTAGCTAGAGACTAGTTTACAGGTTTTCCACGAAACAACTTAATTAAATAATTCAAATTGAAAATAACGTTGTTAAGAATCCCAACTGGCCGAAGGAAAATCAGTTGGCTATATTACAAGTATGGCCGAGGAATTGAAGCTAGGGGCTACCGTGAAACAAATCCAAGTAGTGGCCAGGGCGGGACTTGAACCCGGGAGCGACGGACTGCAAGCCCGACACGCTGTCCACTCGACCATGCTGCCTTCTTCTGAGGACCATTTGTATTTGCCGTTTCCTTCTTTTTACACATATTTTCCCCTTTTTCCTTGGTGTGACGTCCTCGGCAACAGTCCCGTTATAGGCTATTCCAAAGCTATCATATAATAGACTAAGGTGCTTCAGTAATTGCGGTTGCACCCAACAGCTCAGTGATGAGCTTCACGTTCCCTGTTGCCGCATCCGTCATAAATATTGTTTCCCCAACAACACAAATTCCGTGTGGTTGAACAAAAGTGCAACTTTTTGCAGTCCAATATTCATTTCGTCTTTGACCACTCCCCACTTGAATTGTTACTCACCTTGTCGACTGGGCTAAGTGCTTTGACTTTATAAGCTCCAGGTGTAAAGGGTGAGAATCGTTTGATTTCTGAGCAAGAATTGGTCTCGTTCTTTAACACATATCAACTGGTCTACCCTCTAGATCGAGGTAGATTAAAGCCAAACCACCAACAGTACTTGGATACTTTGCAGAAACGAAATAAACTAACCGGCCACAAGCAGCCGGGATAGTCAACCATTTACTCCATCCTTTTCCAAGATGACTTGAAAATCGCTTTTGCTTATCAAATGTACAAATGAATACTTCGTCCCTTGCAATACAAAGGGCGGCGGGACTGGGTAAAGGTGGCTCAATGTGAACACGATCAAGATGAGTTATCCTTCGGACGTGCGATCTGCTCAAGGCGATGAATTGAGCAAGGCACTAACGTAACGTTGCCACATTTCGCTCAAGGGAAAGTTTGTAGGCTATCAGTTAGCCTTCCAGCTCGGTGCGAGATGGAAGGTAGGGTACAATCGCACTGATTCGTTATGTCAGTAAATCGAATTGTCTTGTTGCCACGTTCTATGACAAAACCTACCTTGCAAAAAAAATCATAAGTCTCTAACGTCTTTGTATTTGATGAAGACGGATTCGTAGTAATCTTGTAGAGCAGAAAGTAAATTCGTAAAAAGACAAGTAAAATAATGCTATCTAGTGGTCCTGAACAAACAGCGTCAGCATGGGAACAAGCACCAGGCAAATTTGACTTTCAATATCTGTACTTTGAGACGTTTAACGACTAACATAGGCCTGCTTGTTTAACGGTCGACGGTAAAAATGTTGCTTTTTTGACGGTTGATGGTTAATATTTTGGCCATAAAACGGTTGACGGCTAATCCCATTGAGATCCTCTTATTAGGCTGATTAAAGTTCATCAAAATTCTAAGGTTGCCGTAAGTTCTCAAATCTCAATTTGCTCGTTGAAATTAGGGAAAACATCTCCTGTCTCCGTAAGAGAGTAAGGTTGCAAGCTAAATGAGATCCGCGCGTAACTTCACTGACTGTTAACAACAAGGTGAGACTGTCTGGTCGCATTATACGTTGTAACATTTCCTTCCCTGTCTTCTTTTTACTAGGCAACACTGATATGCAATGTCATATACAACTATAGCATGTGGGCATGAACCATTCGGCGGTCCTTCCCGTTTGTGCTCGTAAAATCCTGGGAAGTTGCTGACTGGAATTTCCAAATGGTTGCTAAAAATACTGCCAAAATCCCAAAAGTTGCTGCGCAAATTTGAAAAGCTTTTACCTAAATTTCTTGATTTTTTGGAATAAAAGTTAATTAAAACTTTCATGTTTCGTTCTTCGCAATAGTCACTAAAATCACTCGAGAAAAATGGTTTGAGACTTAGCTTTGAAGAGTTGCACGTAAATAGAGGCGAAATTGAAGGATATTCTTCACTTAAGTTTAATGGAACAAAAGTCATTCTTCATTTGGCTTCTTGTCGAACGAAACGATGTCAAATAACAGGTTATGTGTTCAAAAGGTTGATAGACATTCAAGAAATTTACATAAGTTGAAGTTTCCGATGAAATCGTTGACTGTTTCGTGCTTAATTGATATGAGTTTTATGTTGAGAAAACATTTCCCAGATATACGAATGAAAAAAAAAATTTCACTGTTACTAGAATCGCAAAAAGTTCCTCCAAACGCCAAAAGTTGCTTAAAAGTTTCCGAGCACAATGGCGACAGGCCTTGCAGGTAATAAACAACTTGAAGAAGAATAGAAAACGAAAAAACCAAGTTTATGCATAAAACAGGTATTTGCAAATATTTAAGGAGGCATTAACCAGGTGTTTATCATTCTTGATCCATTTCTTCAAATAAAATAGAAATAGAAAGGGGCGTTCTTTTCATTACAGTTCACCGAAAAGCAGTAGTTCAAATTGTCGTGCTAAAAATATGATCACGGAAGAAAAAGTTGGAATTCACCAAGCTACAACCTGGCATCGGTTATTAACTGTTTTCCTTTTTCTATGTTTTTAAACTCAATTTCTCTTTGTTTTAAAACAATACATGAAGTAGTGTGAGAGGAATGCATTAACAAAAACATTTTTACGAGTGCGTCGCAAGAGTAGAAAAAATAAAGGCTAATGAACAAAAATAATGTTTTGTTTTGTCAACAATGATCAGGCCGAGAATTCGAACACGTTCGCGGCGTTTTGGGCTTGTGTCAAATTGTCATTCACATGGCGTTATCTTTTATAATACAGAATCCCAGAATTATTAATTGAGGCTATTTTGTGTTCATTACAGTTTAATAAAAAGCAGTGGCTCAAGCTGTCAGGCTAACATTTCATTAAGGCTAGGGAGAGAATTCAGGTGTAGGTTCAGAGGTTCGGAGTTTTTTAGATTTAAACTATAGCTTCAAAACATCAACCAACGATATCGAGATAGAGACTTACCAGCAGGTGGTGGCTAGCATCAAAACACACTGCAAAAGGCTGAGTGTTTATATGCCTTTAAAGGTAAGGGACTTTGTTGTGAAGTGAGGGTAAAGGGTAGAGACCCGTTTTCATTATGAGCCATAAAAATACTTAAATCTTTTGACGATCTCTGCACAACAATTGCTCGAACAAGAGAGAAATGAAGAGAAAAACCCCATAAAAGTAGATTCTCTTAATCTATGACACCCATATTTTGTTATGGGAAATTGTTAGTTAGTTTAGAGTCACTTGCATACAATATTACCAATTTTTCATACATAATAACAGAGATACAAGAAGTCTGTGCCAAAGGGCGCTCTGATCTATCTTGCATTTTCTCAAAACCCACTGTATACTTGATGTCTTTATAAAAGTATACTGACGCATGAACCAATTATTGTTCTTACAAGAAAGATGCTGTGGCCAAATTTTTGCCTCTTTATCCCGGTTCTTTTCGTGGAATGCGTATCTGCTAATGAACAGTGCAAGGTGGAGATCAACATCCAAGGCATGAGACTTGAAAAGTTTGTCTTCAAAAGGATGTCAGCATCAGCTCCCTATATCTGTGATATACGATGTGGATAAGAAATCATCTGCCAAAGCTACAACTACAATAGAAAGAAGGAGATCTGCGAACTAAACAACCGCACCAAAGAGGCGAGGCCTGAAAACTTTCGCTCGGCCCCTGATTGGTTTTATATCAGGCGTTTGAATGGAAGAGGTATGTATTCATCTGATTAAGTGAGATGGCCTTACTTGTTCGCACGTTAAATAGTTTCTCGTCTCAGTCAGCAAGCATTTTCACCAATAACAGCCCTCAAGCGGGAATTTATTTGAAGAAAATAGCAAGCGGGACTAATTTCTATCCTTGAAACATTTTTTTTTCGCGTTTTACTAAGAGAAGATAAGTAAACTGTTTATATTATCTTGGTTATACGCGAACGGCTATGTATTGTCGTGGGTGGAGAGAAGAGAATATAAGTTAAACTGTTTATAGTGTCTTGGTTATACGCGAACGGCTATGTATTGTCGTGTGGTGGGCAACTTTGACAGCTGCTTCTTTCTGAAATCCACCGTTTTTAACAACTCCCATATTTAGGTCAAATGTTGAGTGATATTTTTCCAGGAAAGTAATCTAACCACTTCTGCGTTGTTTGACAGAAATGAAAGTGTGAGAAAAAACTACTTGAATACGAGAAAACTAAAAGTTATTAAATATTATTTCCCGGTAATATTTGCATATTCTAGAGTTTTTTTCTATTGTTCTTGAAAATGTTATAATTACTAATTCACCTTTAGTTATTCTTTAGTAAAATTATATTTTAAAGTCTATAGTCCATCAAATCTATGCTCATCCTCTTAAGTTTCTCACCTTTTCCAAGAAAAATACTTTTAAGAAATTAACCAGGTAGTTACCTACGGAATTTATTCTTCAATATTTTATCTATTGCAGTACCGTTGGGTTCCATTGTCGAATTGCCAGCACTATCTTGCCAAGAAATAAAAGCAAGTGAGGGAAAAGATGCCATTAGCAATAAGTACGGGCTGAATTCAACTGGTAATGGAAAGACACAGTTAATGTATTGTGATATGAACTTAGGAACTGGAGGTAAGCCTATTTCGTTTGATCTCAGCCTATTTTCGTCAAATATTATTTTTCAAACGTTCGGATTATTTCTGTTGATTACTAGTTTATCTATTCTTATATTATTTATAAATTATCTTCCAGACATCGATGAATGCAAGAGTAATATCTTGCTCTGTAGCGTCAATGCAAACTGTTCAAACACTTACGGCTCGTATAAATGCACGTGCAAGGAGGGATACAATGGAACTGGATATGAATGTAGAGGTACGATTAACTTACCTCGCTTTAAGTAAAATTTTCCCATTTGTTCATTTATTCTCTGCAAGAGAGAACATTGGTAATGGACAAGGTCTGATGCTTAGGCGTTTCTATATTTTCAAATACTCACCCAGATATCGATGAATGCAGAAATGGCAGCCACCTTTGTGACGCAAATGCCAATTGCGTCAACGTCAATGGCTCCTATAACTGTACATGCAAGAAAGGTTTTTTGGGAGACGGTCAGATATGTTCAGGTATGTTTTTTCTGAGAAAAAAAAAAATAAAACGAAATAAAGCTGGCTAGAAATAGTCTTTCCACAGCGGACTTATTTGCATTTGTCCTGTAGATATTGACGAATGTGTAAATGGCAGCTTTATTTGTGGTGTGAATGCGACCTGTGTAAACACCAATGGCTCTTATGGCTGTAGTTGTAAGGAGGAAGAATCAGTTGGAGATGGAAGTGCTTATTCAGGTGCGTTACGTGTGCTCAGTAAAAGGTATTACATTTGGTTACTGTACAAGTATTATACTCGAAGAGAAAGAAGAACAATCTTAATAAAAGAGAGCTTTCCCAGCGACCAGATGATTGCTCTCTACCTTCAGGGCAACAATAATACTGTGTTGATGTCCAAACCGCAACAAAAGCTTCCCACTGGTATATATCTGCCCCATGATATGATCTGATATTTTTCATAACCGGGTGAAAACTGTGTTTCCTCATTCGTTAAGGAAGCAATTTGAACCTTTGGAATTTTCTAATTGATATGATACCATAAGCTTTACTGTTCAAAAACAGGTTTAAGACAGTGTTTAAGACTGGAAAGATTTAAAGCGTGGTTTCACTGTAGCGTGCCCCTCCGTGATATCAAAACATTATACATTCATCATCAAATGGCGGCAACGTTGAAACGAAAACTTTATATTGAGATCGGCATCCTTATCCAGCTATGTATTTTTTACTTCTCTGCAGTCATTTTTCCAATTTGCAGGGGATGTTCTGGTAAGCTGGCTATGTTCTGTACTTTATCAATACTTAATGTCGTTGCGTGTATTCTTAACGTTTGAGAGCCTCGTCATAGGCAAGCTTTTTATTTTTATAGACAAGCTTTTTATTTTATTATTTTTTGTTTCAAGTGCAAATACTCTGATGCAACCTCTTTGTGAAGGGGATCTTTAATTTGTGACTAGACGAGTTGTGGCTTTGTGACAAACTGTACAAGGCTCGGCTCCCTCTTGTTCGAAGCCCAACGTGTATCGTATCCCTCTCAGTCAAACAGTACTTTTCCTCTGGAAGAAATTAAAACCACTCTGACGTCAACTCGTGTTTCGTCTTCCATAGTAGCCAATTTAAATTCGAGAGAGTTGATTCCGATCTAAAAGCACCCCTGAAAGGCTAATGAAGCGTCTGCTGTCTTGCAAAAACTAAATTCAAGGAATTTAAATAGTAAGCACCGTGGCAAACCGATTTTTTTCAGCCATTGCTTCGCGGCTTGCTCCTGACGAATTTATTGATCATATTTGACAGTAAATTTAAAAAGTACGTTAATGTCCCGTTTATACTTGTGGTTAACCGTTGAATCTCGCAATCCAAACTTTTTCTCAACTCTTTCGATGAATTTTTGATTCAAAATAAATGATATTAACACACTTTGAATCTTAAATTCAGATTTCGGAGTAAATTTTTAAGAGAAATACGATGAAATGAAAGTTTATTGTATCTTACACGTCATGCAAACTCGTCACGATAGCCATTCAAATAAAGGAAGTGTTGCAGGGCTCCAAAGGAAACTTGTCACATATTTAACTGTTATTTTTCCATCAGTCTCTTAACAGTAAAATTACCCTTTTCCTTACGTAAATTGGTGACTTTTCGTAAAATGAGTCGTTTTTGGAACTTTCTTGGTTGATCGGCTCCTTCTCCTTTATATGGCTCATGACAACTTTTTGATCGTTTTTGGGACGCTAACGGCAACGAGGATGTAGCAACATAAAAGAACAATGGTCAGCACGTGCGTTTAAAACTTTTTAAATTTCTTCGCCGTCCTCTGCAAAACGTGAAATCACCAAAAGTTGAGTCGTACGCGAACGGAAACCGCGACGGCAATTTTTTTGAATTTCCATTTGAAACTCAACACTGCTTATATATGTTATGCTGAAGTTGAGGTATGGCATCGTAAGACATGGTAAAACATGCAGCCATTTTTGAAATCAAAACTGAAAATAGAAATTCTTTTGTTTCGATCGACGTCTTCTTTGGCGTTGCCTTCCTGACTGCTGAAAGGTCCTTTTCATCTTGTTTAGGAGGTGGATCGCTAAAGACTAAAATGCTCCATGATTTTTATTAGTGTCAAGCCTTAAAGGCCCATCTCCTTCCAAGATCCTTTGCATTCATTTGTTTTTGCTTTGGAATCGCGTTATTGTTAAATGGCGAACTCTGATAGTCATTCACAAACACTATTAAAAAGGAAAACAAAGATTTGGTGAAGAACACAGTAAACAAATTTGCAGCTAAATATTTGAGACTGTAAAATCATAAATCGAGTCAGTGTATAAAACTTGTACAAAGCTTACTTGATGTTGAAGGAAACTGTTCGGCTTCAACTCAAAATAAAATATAAACAGATAACCAATATTGGCCAAAAGGGATTTACTTTACGCATTTCATTTATAGAATAATGACTTGTACAAATGAGATCGCTTACATACATATCTCAGGATCTCAAGTAAAAATGAGTCAAATAATTATTCTCACCTCGAGAAAATCTTCCCGGAGTCTCTAGTTCTATCGTAGGAACTCAATGCAATAACATTTCTGAGAAAGCACTGTCTGTAGTGTTACCGAAATCCATGGTTGTTTTCCTTGCCCTCCATAAATCATACACAGACTCTCGCAGTCGAATAACCTTTGCCGAGCCGGGCAGACTCGGCCTTCCTCTAGACCGCTTCTTCGGCGGCATTAACTTTTCAAATGACGTTTTTCACCGTCATACATGTAAGAATTAAAAACTATTTACTGATATGGATACTACGATAGTTTGTTGTTCGCACATCAATCAAGATGGAACTTTGAAAGCCTTAATTAGTAAGATGGAAGACGATATCAAAGCGATTCCGCAACTACGAGGAAAATAGCCTATTTTTCATATATGAAAAATGTCCGGGCGCGCAGGGCATCTCGGTTGGAAATGGGCCTTTAATGCTTTTTTACGATTCGCACAAGTGCACAGGTTTGTTCAAAGATTTTGTTCTCAAAAACAATGTTGCTAAAAGTTTTCTGAGCTAACAACTCAACTGTAACCTCTCAAAATAACTACATAACCGATCCTAATTAGCCTGTACCGAGTGGTGCCCATACCAAAGCTGAATTAGTCGAATGTAAACATGAAGTCGATAACATAATGTTCAAACAGACTTCTCTTTAATCTTCATATTTAAGAAAATTTCTAATATGGTCATTAAGACAATCGGTGAAAAGATTGTTGACACACTGATACTTTTCAACCCTTTATAACTTTAATTTTATCTCTTTTAACCTCGTTAAGTTAACCATTTCGCCCTCTTCCACCCCAAAGCAATGTTGTATCGTGTTTTTATGAATTTTAGCCAACTTTGAATAGGGGGAGGAAGGTCTGTTAATGATAAGAATGTGGAAGAAACAAGAATGCTATTCTTCACATAAACAGAACTCTTCAAACATGATGTGTCACCTTATTTTGACGCTGATTAGAGGTTATCAATCGGGAGCTAGGTTACCAGTTCATAATATGGCTTCGTTCACCCAATCAGATGGCTAAAAACTCAATAATCGTGCTTCAGTTTTCATTAAATGGCATACTCTGTTTTTCGAAGTTTCATTTCAATCAAAGGCAATTCTCAGTCACAAACTATTGTGCTGAACTTCTCCTTAATTCCAGTGGCTGAGGAGGAATTGAGGAGGGAAAAGTCTCGAAATATTCCTAAGAGCATAAAAGAAGACCAACAAGCAGGAGTTTCAGTCCCCTAGGATACTGTATCACAGAAAACTCTCAGAGTACAAAAAGACAGCAACAAACCATTATCCAGTGTCTCTCGAGAGAAATTAATTTCTTAAGGATATTACCCAGCCATTCTAAACCAAAACTGGGCATGAGCTTCTTTTGTTATTTGCAATCCAAATAGGTGAAGAATGCCGATCCATTGTTTTCAAAGAACCGATACAAGAGAAAGTCATGAAGGGCCACTTGATCAGGCTTGTAGAGGTGCCCAATCAAGGCAGCTGTAATGTGCTGTGTTATATGGAGCCCAATTGTGTGTCCATAAATTTTGGGCCTTCACAAGGAGGAAACTACATTTGTGAGTTGAATAATGCTTCGGACAAAAGTACATCCATCACACAGTAATCTCGTGCGTGGGAAATTAACGTCTCCTACCCCAACCCTGCAGAAGACGGGACCTCCATTTATTCGTCCCTATCCGAGAAGACTAGAATATCTAACCATTTCTTGATGTTAAAGGAAGGAAGCATATTCTTCTCAGTTAATTTTAAGACCCTGAGTGTTGGTCCGGCCGGTTCTCGACCTCCCGCACAGCAATCCGGCGCTCTCCCAATTGAGCTAACCAGGCGGCGGTTAAATTATTTTATAATAATAATAATAATAATAATTTAAACATATTTATACAGGATTGCTGCTTAAGTTTAGGAAAGCAAAAATTGCTATCAATGGAGGTCCTGTTAATGCAGGTCCTATCAATGCAGGTCCTATCAATGCAGGTCCTATCAATGCAGGTCCTGTCAATGCAGGTCCTATCAATGCAGGTCCTGTTTTAGATGATGAACAATTATTCTGGACCATCAGTTTGTCGGATTACTTCTTAAACTAGCCTTGCAATTGCACATGAATTACATTGAAGTGATTCCTTAGTGCGGCATTGGTCCTCCTGAGGAAAGTTTTGACCCGGTTTCGATGTTATGCAATCGAGAGATTGCGTTATTCCAAATGCTCGAGAATTTTTACTTATCAAATATGTTGTAAAACTATGAAATAACTGATCCTCGTGATTAGTACTAGTACGGAAAAATAGGTTAAGACTGGCCTAACTTTCTCTTTGGTGACCCTTCCTTTGTATGGTAGTTCTTGGAACAGAGATTACTGAAGAACTTTCAAGGAATATTTCAATAAAAAAAACCTACTACGACTTTTATTTATTTATGAGGAGTCACCTAAAGAGAGAATACCAAGGCTAAGATACACCAGTGGTGGCATCTCTACAATGTTAAGAAAAGAAAGAGCAAGATACCCGGGGCTAATTATAAAATGAAGGGACCAATTCTTAATCAATCAACCACTACTCAACAAACCGAATATCCAGTGCCGCGATTGATAGATTTTCAGGTTTAATGACTGTTAAAGTGTAATTAGTTCCTGTCTCCCATTACTTCAGTTATGAAAAAGCCTGAAGAAGTTATCGTTCCAGCACAAATGCGTTCCTGTGATTACATGATAACCCGGGCAAGTAAACTAACCATGGATGTTTATGATACGCAGTCATTTTGTCTTCGACAGAATCCCTGCAGCAGCAGTCCCTGTTTCAACAATGGCACATGTCAAGCTGGATACACTGATAAAGGATTTCATTGTATATGTCCCTTAGGATTCACTGGTGTATACTGCTCGAAAGGTAATTATACGCAAAACTGTAAAATTGAGTCAATAACGAATGATAATCATAGAGGGTTCAGGAGAATAAAATTGTTTTTTTCTTTTCTTTTTTTTTTTTTTTTTTCAATGTAGCCTGCAGCCTTGACTTTGAAAGTGGTATCGGCGGGTGGGAAATGACAGGCAGAGCTTTTATTTACCAGCCTACACTTGGCGACAATCCAAAATATCGCGGCAGAGAAAGCGCCAATCAGCAAGGGGACTGGTGGATAGGGGGAGCTGAGAAAAGGCCCAGTGAGAGCGATACCGCAGGAGGGCAGCATCCAGATGGACCCGACGTACCCCACGGAACTCTCACCTCACCTTGTTTTCGTATCGTCGGCAAGAATATCTCGTTTCTCATTGGTGGGGGATGTACCGTAACTAATGTTCGTGCGGAGCTTATAGTCAACAACCAGGTGAGATTCTTCACTTAATTTGACTATTATGTGTCCTTCGATTCTTTGAAAATAGCCTAGGTAGATTGATCAAAGTATCAGAAATTTGATCAAAAGTGAGATATTTACGAGAAATATATGTATTTAAAAAGTAAAATCAAAACATTTTTTTACCCTTGGTAATTATCTGAGTAAGTGATGATGATCCTGGTAATAATTAAGTGTAGAAAACGTTTGGATTTACTTTTCAAATATTTTTAGTTAGAAATTGCTTATTTTGAGGTTACTGAAGGGAGAGTCTGCGAGATAACCAATTACGTGTCTGGCACACTATATTTCACTTTTATAGTCTTTGGCTTTCCCTCCCTCGAAACGAAAAGTTTTATTTCCTAAGATTAAAGTATTGCAAGTCAATTGATGTATGATATATTCATTTTAGATATGTCAGCAAAAGTCGAAACAAGGTTTAAAAATTTTTGTGTTTGTTGTTACGTTTAGGTCGTCAGAAATGAGACAGGAAACTGTTCAGAGACAATGTTCCGTAAGAGTTGGGACGTAGAGGAGTTTATTGGTCAATACGCGCAAGTCAGACTCATTGACAAGAAGAGTTGCTGTTATGGTCACATCAACTTTGATGACCTTAAAGGAGACATCGTTTGTCCTCACTATTTTGACGAGAAAAACTGAAGAGACCGCGGCTCCTAAAACTGACATATCACCTCGTCTGTTTTTTTTTTAATACTTACCTTGAAAGTATGATTACACAGCTTTTGACGTACTACAGTACGAGAATTATTTGTCTACCGAGTGGGCAGTGAATTTGTGATTTGCATTTTCTGTCGCTAGCCTTTTCAATTACTTCAATCGTTTATTTTTAGGTTGTCAGGAAGGACACAGGAAAATATAAAAAAAGAACTCGGCCAATATCCAGCCATCTTGACCTCACGCTTATAGCTGATAACCCATATATATTGTGCTCCTTAAATTATGGCAGTCTAACGAAAAAAAAAAAAAAAAGAAGGAGACTAGTAAAGGAAAACTTATATAATTAGCTCTCTAATTTGTTAAAGAGATGATGTTTCATTAGTATTGAGCAAGAAACCAGCGTAAAAGTGCTTTTCTATTCATCTTTATAGATTTGTCTTTAATTAATTGTTATCTTCACCTCTAACAGGCGGTCACCTCTATTAAGCGCCCAAAGGCATGTTGTTATTGTCTTCCACCTGTATTGAACGGTGACATAAAGCAAAAGACAAATCAATCTCTCAGTCTTTCAATTTTTCTTTTGTTTATTTTTGAGGGAGTTATTAATAGCATTTTGTATCGCGTTTTTTTTTACAATGCTTTTATTCTGTGGGACCTGTATTTAGCGGTCAGCCTGCCATTGGCGGTCACCTCGCCATTCCCCGCAGGTGACTGCATAATACAGGCTCGGCTATATTTCTGTCAGTGACTGCTGAGGCCATTTTTCTTTTAACTTCAGGATCAAAGTAAGGGCAAACACGTAAAAGGTCGATGCTTCTTCAGTTTTTAGTGTGAGCAACAAATAGCTTAAAAAAAAAAAAAAAAACTGTTCAACCGTCTGCGAACAAAATTCAAAACATTGAATTGGTAGTACTTGTTGTAAAATCGAAGTATCGTTGAGGTTTGCCCTTAGAGTCGTCATAATCAAATTAAAATGAATTCAAAAATGAATAATAAAATGAATTAAGCCAATACATTTGTGAGTTGAATAATGCTTCGGACAAAAGTTCAGGCTCGTCCGACCTTCAGAGGAAAAAAGATTATATCCATCTCAGTATCGAGGTAAAGTGAATTATTCTAAACGATGAACAATTATTGTGGGCGATCAGTTTGACAGATTACTTCTTAAACTAGCCTTGCAATTCCACATGAATTGAATTGAAGTGATTCCTTACTCGGTACTGCATTGCGCATCCTGAGGAACGTTTTGACCTTGTTTCGATGTTATGCAGTTGAGAGATTACTTTTCCATAGATTATGTAATGCGACTTTTTACTTACCTGTCTAATGTTTTGTGTGTGTGTGTGTGTGTGTGTGTATGTATGTGTGTGTGATGTATGCGTGTGTGTGTGTGTGTGTGTGTGTGCGTGTGTGTGTGTCTGTGTGTGTGTGTCTGTGTGTGTGTGTGTGTGTGTGTGTGTGTGTGTGTGTGTGTGCGTTTTACTTTCTAAAACTATCGAGAAATATGCTGTGAAACTATGAAATAATCCTCGTGATTAGTACTAGCACAGACATAAATTGGGATAGGTTAGCCATCTATCTCTTTGGTGACCTTTCCTTTGTATTGTAGTTCTAGAAACTGAGATTGATGGGGAACTTTCACTGAAGAAAATTTCAATAAAAGAATGAGGAGTCACCTGAAGGGAGAATACCAAAGCCAATATACACCATTGGTGTCATCTCTACAATGTAAAGAAAAGGAAACAACCAGATACCTGTCGCTAAAATGAAGGGACCAATTCTTGATTAATCAACCACTACTCAACAGACCAAATATCCAGTGCCGCGATTGTTAAATTTTCTGGTTTAATGACTGATCAAGTGTAACTATTTCTTGTTTGCACTTACTTCAGCTACCAAAAAGCCCGAAGAAGTTATTGTTCCAGCACAAATGTGTTCCTTTGAGATTACATGATAACCTAGGAAAGTAAACTAACTATGGATGTTTATGATATGCAGTCATTTTGTCTTCGACAGAATCCTTGCCATAGCAGTCCTTGTTTCAACAATGGCACATGTCAAGCTGGATACACTGATAAAGGATATCGGTGTAAATGTCCTTTAGGATTCACTGGTGTATACTGCACGAAAGGTAGCTATACACAAAACTGTAAAGTGGAGTCAACAACGAATGATAATCATAGAGTGTTCAGGGGAATAAAAAATTTCTGTTTCTGTTTTTCTAATTTTAATGTAGCCTGCAGCCTTGACTTTGAAAACGGAATCGGCGGGTGGGAAATGACATGCAGAGCCTTCACTTACCAGCCTACATTTGATGACAATCCAGCAGCTCGCGAAAGAGAAAGCGCCAATCAGCAAGGGGACTGGTGGATAAGGGGAGCTGAGAAACGGCCCAGTGAGAGCGATCCCCCAGGAGGGCAGCATCCAGATGGAGCCGACGTACCCCACGGAACTCTCACCTCACCTCGTTTTCGTATCGTCGGCAAAAATACCTCGTTTCTCATTGGTGGAGGGTGTACCGTAACTGAAGTTCGTGCAGAGCGTATTGTCAACAACCAAGTGAGATTATTTACTTTGACCATTATGTGTCTGATTCTTTTAAAATAGCTTAGGTAGATTGATTAGGGTATCAGAAATTCGGTCTTTCAAATTAATTGCGGAGCTATTTTAAGGTCCGTGATACCCATAAAGTTCGCTTAGGTTTAAAATGAGATACATACAGGGAAAAATATATTTAAAAAGTAAAATCTAGACGTTTTTTACCCTTGGTCGTCAACTGGGTAAGTGATGATGACCCTGATAACAATCAAGTGTCGAAAAGGGTTTTTTTTTACTTTTAAATATTTTTTTCACTAAGAAACTTCTTATTTTGAGTTTACTTAAGGAAGAGTCCACTAGATAACCAACTTGGCGTCTGGCACCGTAGTATATTTCACTTTTTTAGTCTTTGGCTTACCCTCCTTCAAAACGAACGGTTTTTTATTTTTTTTTTTACCTAAGATTAAATTATTGCAAGTGAATTAATGTATGATATATTCATGTTAGATATGTCAGCAATCGTCGAAACAAAGGTTTAAAACTGTTTATGTTTCTCGTTGCGTTTAGATCGTCAGGAATGATACAGGAAACTGTAGAGAGACAATGTTCCGTAAGAGTTGGGACGTAGAGGAGTTTATTGGTCAATATGCGCAAGTCAGACTTGTAGATGATAGTTCTGGTAGTTATGGTCACATCAACATTGATGACTTTAAAGGAGATATCATTTGTCCTCACTATTTTGACAAGAAAAACTGAAGAGACAGCGGCTCTCGAAACTGACATATCACCTCAAGTCTGTTTTTCTTTTTTTTTTTGTAAATAGTTACCTTGAAAGTATGGTTAAACAGCTTTTGACGCAGTACAGTACAAGAATTATTTGTCTACTTAGTGGGCAAGTCGCTAGCCTTTTCAATTATTTCAACAGTTCGTTTTTAGATTGTCAGGAAGGACACAGGAAAATCCAAAAAAAAAACTCAGCCAATATCCACCCATCTTGACCTCACGCTTAGTTAATAACCCGTATAATATTGTGCCCCTTAAATTACGGCCGTATAACAAAAAGAAAGGGAAACTAGTGATTTAAAAAGTAAAGGAAAACTTATAAAAATAGATGACTAATTTGTTAAAGAGACGATGTTTCATTAGTATTGAGCAAGACACCTGCGTAAAAGTGCTTTTCTATTCATCTTTGTAGATGGTTTGTCATTAATTGTTATCTTCACCTCTAACAGGCGGTCACCTCTATTTAGCGTCCAAACGCATGTTGTTACTGTCTTCCATCTGTGTTGAACAGTCACATAAAGCAAAAGACAAATCAGTCTCTCAATCTTTCAATTTTTCTTTTGTTTATAGTCATTTTGAGGGAGTTATTAATAGAATCTTTTATGTTTTTTGTTTTGTTTTTGTTTTTTTTTATAACACTCTTATTCTGTGCAACCTGTATTTAGCGGTCAGACTACCATAGGCGGTCACCTCGCTATTCCCAGCAGGTGATTGTTTAATACAGGCTCGAATATATTTCTGTCAGTAACTGCTGAGGCCATTTTTCCTTTCTCTTCAGGATCAAAGTTGGGGCGAACTCGTAAAAGGTAGATGCTTCTTCAGTTTTCAGTGTGAGCAACAAAATAGCTTTAAAATAAAGTTAAAAAAGAAAAACTGTTCAACTCTGCGAACAAAACTCGAAACATTGAAATGAGAGTGCTTGTGCTAAAATCGAAGCATCGTTGAGGTTTGCTCTTTGAGTCGTCATAATCAAATTATGAATTAAAAGCCAATAGAACGCATTTTAGACAGACTTGCCTTATTTGCCAACAATTGAGGGTTCACATCGTTTTCAGAAAACGCAATTTCACGTGCAAAATATTGATTTATCTATTGAATACCTTAAGACGAAAGGTTCCCCTAATATTGAGCTCGTCTTCTGCCAATCGACGATAATTTTCGAGTGTGTGTTGGAGCGCGGAGCTGCGGAGCTGGTAAAGCGCTAAATTGGAATATCGTTCCCTGGTTAAGCAGAGACACTTTTTGTTGAAAGTTGTTTTCTAGCCGCCTCATTGCCTCATGAAGCTTCATATCTGTTAAACCAGTAGAAAGCGACTTCCTTGCGCAAGATTATACAAGCATCTATGCTAATTAATTTGCCTGATCAGAGAGGTTTGAGAAGACGCACTTCGAGTAAATACGCTTATAACGCTAACCTTATCAATGTGGCTCGTTCATGCGCAGAAGTTTAGTCGCTTGATAATAGTCAACAGCTCTCGTATGAGTAACGTTTAATTTACTGCTTTCCAATTTCTAAATTTAGCCTCACGTAAAACTCCGCGAGACACCTACCCCTCGCTAATTTTATTTTGTTTACTCGACAAGTTCGTGATCATGAAAAACCTAGCTGTCAACGACCTGTCATCATATTAACTTAATGGTGCGTCATTAATTAAACACTTCAGCATTTTAAAAAAAAAATTAAAAATTGTCCGTCAAAATATAATGCTTCTGTTGCACATTAAGCGATCTTCGTCATTCAGTCGGAATAATTGCTTCAACTTTCATTAATCGATAACCCGCTATTTAACTTTGAAACATGACGTTAAGCGATAAGGTTATAGCTTTTGTGAAATGAATACCGAATATATTTAGAGAAACAGCCGCAGATGAGCTTGACATCCTACCTCTCATGCGATAATATAACAGAAAATGGTGTTCACGGATTCTAAAGACTTCGCATAACGGTTTCCTCAAATACAGCCGTTTTGAGGGCAATGAAGTTGTTTTACCAATTGCTTTCGTCTGATTGGCTGAATCGCTAATGGTATTCCCCGCTGGCATCTTTGTGTCCAGTAGCGTACATAATCCATAATCATTAAAGCAGCATCTGTCTTAGCCACGAACGACAGCAAGAATATCTCCTTGAAAAATTCTACTGAACAAGCCAACTGGAGTCAGTTCAAGTTTTACGAACATTTACGTAAACGCATTGAAATCCACAGCAAATTTTTACTGTCAGCTGGACAGAGATGACTGTTTTTAAAATAATGTAAATTGCTGTTTCAACGCGTAGCTGGTAAATTTTTCTCCTAAAAAACAAATAAATGGCGGAAATGTGCGGAAGGAAACTCGAAGCTTCCGTTTTACTCTTAAGCTTCTTCTTTCAAAGCGGCATCATTATTCCGATTTCCACAGAATGTTCAGGTAAGTCAACTGTGTTTTGAATTTGTTTTTACCGATATTCCTTCAATTCATTTCCATAGTTTAAATAAAACCTTTTTTTTTTCTTTTTTTTTTTTTTTTGGCAATTTACAAACGATGGATTCGCTATTACTTGTCCCACTGATGAGAGTGAAAATTAATGTCAATTAGAATAATAATTTATTGTTACATCTTCCCACTGAAAAATATGCATTAGCGCCACTGTTGGCGAAACTCTATTTCCAATAGAATTATGCAACCGACATATGGAGCACAATGGGGTTCTTTCTCACTTTTAATAGTTCTTTCTGCTAGGATCGAATTTAGAAGGGATGTACGTTATATGCTTTCTTCTTTGACGGATAATTCGCTTCTGGTTTTCACAGCTTGATTAAGCGTACTATCAAAAACTAACGGTAAAATTACAGATATATCTCCAAAGACAAGTTCTTTCTTCGGTAAAAGTTTCAAACTTGTGGGATAACGTAGCAGGGAAAACTCTCAGAGTAATAAACCATTATGGAGTGTCTCTCGTGGAAAATTAATTTCTTAAGAATTTTACCCCGCCATTATCTTATTTTAAACCAAAACAGTGCATGAACTTGTTTTGTTGTTTGTCAACCAAATAGGTCAAGAATGCCGATCCATTGTTTTCAAAGAACCCATACAGGAAAAGGTCATGAAAGACCACTTGATTAGGCTTGAAGAGGTGCTCCATCAAGGCAGCTGTAATGTGCTGTGTTATTCGGAGCCCAATTGTGTGTCCATAAATGTTGGGCATTCACAAGGAGGGAACTACATGTGTGAGTTAAATAATGCTTCGGACGAAAGCCCAGGCTCGTCAGACCTTCAGAGCAAACAAGATTATACCCATCTCAGTATCGAGGTAAAGTGACTTATTTTAGACAATGAACAATTATTGTGGGCGATCAGTTTGACGGATTACCTCTTAAACTAGCCTTGCAATTCTTGTACACGTATTGAATTCAAGTGATTCCTCAGTATTGCATTGCGCATCCTGAGAAACTTTTTGACCTGATTTCGATGTTATGAAATTGAGAGATTTTTCCATCTCTTATATATGACATTCTTCCCAAAGCTAGGGACATTTACTTAACCATCAATTTTTTTTTTCCTTTTTTTTTTCAAGTATTACTTTATGAAACTATCGAGAAATATGCTGTGAAACGATGAAATAGCCCACTTGATTAGTACTAGTTCGGCATAAAGTAATCAAAGTAATAGTAATAGTAATAGTAATCAAGATTAGCCTATCCGCTATCTCTTTGGTGACCTAACCTTTGTATGGTAGTTCTAGAAACAGAGATTGGTGGAGAACTTGCAAAGAAAATGTCAATTAAAAAATCCTTCGACAACTCTGAATTATTTATGAGGGATCACCTGGACAGGGGAGAATATCAAAGCTAAGATAAACCAGTGGTGTCATCTCTGCAATATTAAAAAAAAAAAAAACAAAAAAAAAACAAGAAAAACAAGATACCCGTTGCTAAAATGAAGGGACCCATTCAAAATAAATCAATCGCTACTCAACTAACCACATGGTTTAGGTACTGATAAAGTGCTTCTTGTTTGTACTTATTTTATAAAAAGCCTAAAATATTTATAATTCCAGCAAGAATGTGTTCTTTAATTTGAGTTTACATGATAACCCAGGCAAGCAAACTAACTGTAGATGTTTATGATATCCATTTATTTTGCCTTTAACAGAATCCCTGCAGCAGCAGTCCCTGTTTCAACAATGGCACATGTCAAGCTGGATACACTGATAAAGGATTTCGCTGTAAATGTCCTTTAGGATTCACTGGTGCATTCTGCAGCAAAGGTATTCAAATAAAAAACTGTGAAGTGGGATCAATACCGAATGATTATATTCAGGTGGATAGAAATTTCCTTTTTTTGTATTATAGCCTGCAGCTTTGACTTTGAAGATGGAATCGGCGGGTGGGAAATGATAGGCAGAGCTTTCATTTACCAGCCTACATTTGGTGACAATCCAACATATCGCCGCAGAGAAAGCGCCAATCTGCAAGGGGACTGGTGGATAGGGGGAGCTGAGAAACGGCCCAGTGAGATCGATACCGCCGGGGTTCAGCATTCAAATGGACCCGATGTACCCCAAGGAACTCTCACCTCACCTTGTTTTCGTATCGTTGGCAAGAATATCTCGTTTCTCATCGGTGGAGGGTGTGACTTAGGTAATGTTCGTGCAGAGCTTATTGTTGACAACCAGGTGAGATTATGCGACACTTCGACCATTATATTTTCTTTAATTCTTGTGAAACAGTGTAAGTAGATTGATCAGAGTATCAGAGGTTTGCTTTTTCAAAATTGCGAAACCATTTTGAGCTTCGTGATATCCATAAAGGTTGCTTATTTTAAACTTCCTCAGAGGAAAGTTGACGAGATAACCAACTATGCGTCTAGCACATTATATTTTGCTTTATTTGTCTTTGGCTTACCCTCGCTCGAAACGACAGTATTTTTTCCACAAGTTCAAAGCATTGCAAGTCAATTAATGTACGATATATTCATGTTAGCTATGTCAGCAATCGTCGAAACAAAGGTTTAAAAACTTTTGTGTTTGTCATTACGTTAAGGTCGTCAGAAATGAGACAGGGAATTGTTCAGAGACAATGTTCCGTAAGAGCTGGGACGTAAAGGAGTTTATTGGTCAATATGCGCAAGTCAGACTTCTAGATGAGAGTTCTGGTGGTTACGGTCATATCAACTTTGATGACCTTAAAGGAGATATCATTTGTCCTCACGATTTAGACGAGATAAACTGAAGAGACAGCGGCTCGTGAAACTGACATATCACCTCAAGTGAGGATTTTTGCAAATAGTCACCTTGAAAGTACCATTAAACAGCTTTTGCCATAGTATAGTAGTTGCTTTGTGCTGGCATAAATAGGCACAAATCACTGTTTTTTCAGCAGTAGCAAAGCATTTTGAAACAATTTTAGCACATGTCTGTGAAGGCTATAGTCATATAATCCAATCGTTATATCGGTTTACTGCGAGAATAAGGAGATTCAATTACTTTAGATGCTAGCAATCGCATATTAGAGTGCTTTTTTCGTTGAAACGTCTTTTGAAGGCATTAAAGTACACACGATATTTACTTTGCAAAATCCATAGCTGTAAAAGCTATAAACTACCAAATTCATCGTCACGGGTTCTTCTTAAGCATATTAAATACCTCACAGCAGAAAGCATGAAATAAACCACAGTTCATCATCCCACATATCACACCGAAAAAGATCGAGGAGTTGCTAAAACTCATGCCATTCCACAAGGCGGCGGGATCTAAAGGTCTCGGTGCTAGGGTACTAAAAATAGCTGTCCCTGAAATCTCCTTACCACTAAGTCGGCTTATTAACCACTGCGCTGATATAGGAAATTTCCCGTCTGCATGGAAAACTGCCAAAGTTACGCCTTTTTACAAGGGGCGAGGAAGTAAAGACGACATGAGCAATTATCGTCCAATGTCAGTACTCTCTTTACTATAAAAAATTTTTGAGAAAAATATCCACCAAGCCCTGTACAACTACATGAGAAACAACAACTTGTTGTACACCTTGAGGTAAGGCATTGCCAGAAATTTGGGTTAAAATGCCGGACGTGCGTGCGTATTGAGAAGTTAATGGCGGCGAAATCGTGTTAGGAAATGTATGGGATTTCCACAAAACTCCAAAATACAACAAATACGAGGGAGAGTATTCCCTAGCTCCGACTTGAAACAAGTTCAGAAGAGATTAAGCTGTACTTCTAGCATTTGACGCTTGACGGTTAATTTTTTGAAATGTCGTTTATAAAACGAAATAAACGCGCGAATTTGGCTGTAATTTTTCATGACAGGCTATAATTTTTTCCCATAATCTACTAAACAGGTTAATCCTATAATTTGTGTTCTAAAAATTAGGTATGTGGTCTTCAACTGTATGTCTTAGCAGTGTAATTACATCATCTTTGCTACCGCTGGACGTATTAATAGCCTGCTCGACCAAGTGGTGTACTTGTGTAAGGAGTAGCATAAGGATCTTAAAGTCCTTGCTTATAACAGATCAAGTCTCATCGATGCTTTAATCGGTCTCCGCGATCTTGTTATGGAACTCTTTCATTCTTGTACACAGTTGGCAGAAGAGCGCCTGCTTTGTCTTTCGTAGTCTTGCTTCGAACGGTTCTCAGCCTCCCTGTTCTGTAATGTTTTACCCATTCTTTCCGATTTCCGCCTCTTTTGGAATAGTCTCTGCTATCAAAGGAGTCATAAATTTAGCGGCACTGAATGGCATATTAAAGGAACAGGGAAGTACACCACAGGATGTGTAAAATAACTGGCTGTCCACTTTGTAATCCGGTTAAAGGACTCCTTTGAGTTCCAAAGTCCATAGCGTGCCGAAGTACGCTAAATGTCTAATGTTTGAAAATTCTAGATGCATAGTGTTGGTGTTTTCTCCGAGACGATTAATACCTCTAAAAAGAAGCCGAACAGACTTTAGAGTCTTTTGTGACACTATGCCCTAAGGCATATTTGTGTTTGCCGTTTCTTTCAGATTATAGTCTTCCTTGGAAACTGTTGATTTGAGATAAGTCTTATTTTTACTCACATTTTCCCACTTTGCCTCGGTATGACTTCCTGGGCAACAGTCCCCTTGTAGGCCATTCAGAAGCTATCATACAATAGACTTAGGTGCTTCAGTAATTGCGGTTGCACCCAACAGCTCAGTGATGAGCTTCACGTTCCCTGATGCCGCATCCGTTACGAATATTGTTTGCCCAACAATACAAATTACGTGTGGTTGAACCACTTTGACCACTCCCTACTTGAATCGTTACTCACCTTGTCGACTGAGTTAAATACTTTGACTTGATAAGCTCCAGAATCTCTAAAGAACAACGGTTTTTTTAAGGGCGTAGATCGTTGGATTTCTGAGCAAGAATTTGTATCCTTCTTTGACACATATCAACTGGTCCACCCTCCAAATCGATCTAGATTAAAGAAATACAAACCACCAATAGTACTTGGATACTAGCACTCTTCGCCTATCATCTGCACATATTAATCCTTCGCCCCTTGCAATGCAAAGTGCGGCGGGGCTGGGTAAAGGTGGCTCAATGTGAACAGAATCAAGATGAGTTATCCTTCGGAAGTGCGATCTGCTCAAGGTGTTGAGCAAGGCGCTTACGTAAAGTTGCCACAGTTCCCTCAAGGGAGAGTTTTTAGGCTCTCAGCTTGCTTTCCAGCTCGGTGCGAGATCGAAGTTAGGGTAAAATCACACTGATTCTTTATGTCAATAGACCGAAGTGTCATGTTGCCACGTTCTATGACAAAACCTACCCTACAAGAAAAACAGACGTCTCTAGCGTCTTTGTATCCCATTTCCTCTTCGAATACATCTGCTGTTTGATGAAGACAGATTCGTAGTAATCTTGTAGAGCAGAAAGTAAAGTCATAATCAAGTACAGGAATGCTACCCAGTGGTCCTGAACAAACAGAGACAGGATGGGATGGAGACAGGATGGGATGGAGACAGGATGGGATGGAGACAGGATGGGATGGAGACAGGATGGGATGGAGACAGTATGGGAACATGCACCAGGAAAGTTTGACTTTCAATATCTGTACTTTGAGACATTTGATGACTAACAATGGCTTGCTCGTTTAACGGTCGACGGTAAAAATGATACTTTTTCGACGGTTAATGGTTAATATTTTGCTATAGAACAGTTGACGGTGAGCCACGGCCCATTGAGACCCTCCAATTAGACTGACTAGATTTCATCAAAATTATTTGCTTACATAGGTTCTAAAAATCAAATTTAGTCGTTGAAATTAGTGGAAACCATCTCCTGTCTCCATAAGAGAGAAAGATTGTAAGCAAAATGAGATCCGCGCGGAACTTTGCTAACTGTTAACAGCAAGGTGAGACCGTCTGGTGGCATTCTACGTTGCAATATTTCCCTCTCTGTCTTCTTTTATTGGGCAACACTGATATGCAATGTCATATACAGCTATAGCATGTAGGCATGAGCCTTTCGGTGATCCTTCAGCTACTAGGCAAGATTGCGCTCGGTAACTCTTGAGCAACTTTTAGCGTTCTCAGCACCTTTTTATATTGCGAGCAACGGTCAGCAACCTGGAGCAACTTTTGCTTTCATAGGCAACTTTTGAGTCAACAAATTGTTAAAAACTGACCAAACCATCATAAAGGTCTTTATCAAAAGGTTTTTGTTAAAACTGGTCAAAACAAAGGATGTCGTCCGTTTTTACAAATTATTTATAAAATAACACGTGCGCCCACAAACTGGATAGCAGCTATCTATCTAACGGGCGCTTACATCCAGCGGTTATTCGCTCCAGCAATAGAGCTACTCGCGCGTGCGAGGCATCACGATTAGAAGCTGAAATGTCTGACGAGGAAAATGGAAGCAATCAGGTATTGACCCTATTGAAGTTACCGTAGCCGCTGGGGCAACTCTTAATAGTCCTGCCAGAGCTTCGATTTCTAGAAAGCGCATTTTTCTCGTCAATGAAGGCAAATATGAACAACTAGAAGTGGTACTCGACCTCGTCCTCAGGAAAAGGAAGCGCAACATGCGCTTGGGATCGCGTGAAAGATTATTCAAAAGGTCTTTAGAAAATACTTTCTATTATTAGTCACGTTGACAATATATTGATCACAACAAATGATGCTAAATTACGCATACGTCATGTTTTGAGTAGTAATCTAGAACAAAATAACTCTCAAAAGTAAGCAAATTTTTTAAATTTGGGTGACAACTTTTAAATTTTTGAGCAACTTTAGAGTAACTTTTGGGTGTATTGTCAAGCAACTTTTGGTGGATTTACTAGCACAATTTATTCATGCCTAAATACATCCTCTAGACGAGCTCTAAGCGCCAATGAAATGTAACAGTTACTCCGGGGAAGATTTCAGCATGTCCCGTATGTGTTCGTAAAATGCTAAGAACTTGCTGACTGGAATTTTCAAATGGTTGCTGAAAAACTGCCAAAATCCCAAAAGATGCTGGCAAAAGTTAAAGAGCTTTTACCTAAATGTCTTAATTTTTTTGGGGATAAAAGTTAAAAAAAGTTTAATTTTTCGATCTTCGCAATAGTCACTAAAATCACTCGAGAGAAATAGTTTGGAACTTAGCTTTAAAGAGTTGCGCGTAAATATAGGCGAAATTTAAGGATATTCATGACTAAAGCCTAATTGAAGAAAACATGCTTCATCTGGCTTTTTGTTGAGCTACACGATATCGAATAACAGGTTATGTATTCAAAAGGTTGATAGACATTCAAGAATTTTGCATAAATTGAAGTTTTTCTATGAAATCGTTGACTGGTTCGTGCTTAATTGGTTTATGCTTTATTTTGCGAAAACATTTCTCAGATATACAAAGATTTCTCGCTGTTACTAGAATCGTACAAAGTTCCTCCAATCATCCAAAGTTGCTTAAAAGCTTCCGAGCACAATGGGGAAAGGCCTTGCAGGTAATAAATTTAGCTAATGAAGACGTTAGGAAAATTTGTGGTCTTTAATTGATATTAATTAAGGGTCCCTTAAGAAAGTCGATCTAGAACTCTTATTGTGGATGCAGAATAGTTAAAGCTAATAAGGTTTTCGATTTCCAAAGAGGCTTAAGTAAACTTTATGTTAGCCTGTTAACAATCCACGGTGGTGTCCTTGTATTATCGTTAGTCTAAACTGATCACGAGCGATCTGGATACAAAGAATCATGTAAGTTAGACAAAGGTGGCAGGATTTGGAGAATTCTAACCAAGACAGTTATATTGCCCTAAAAGTAACAAACTCCCACTGGAAGTGTAAGCGTGGCAAGTTTAGGGTCTTCTGTTGAACGGGCTTATATTAATTGTTCGTCATCCCGTTTATTATTCAAGGTAGAAGTGTCCCACACATTCTAGAAAAATCGTGTGAATATGCAATTAGAATAGAAAATGAAAAAACAAAGTTTATGCATCAAACAGATATTCATGATTATTTAAGTAGGCCTTAACCAGGTGTTCATCATTTTCGATCCAATTCTTTCGATAAAATAGAAATAGAACGGGGCG